TACTTTCTTAGTTGTAATTCGACGTCTTAGACATCTTGCCATTATCTTTATCCTCGTTAACTTTTAATTCCTTCTGCCGTTTCATAGCCTTGCATGTAGCTTTGCTCAGAAGGTTCGCCTTGCTAGTACTCTCATCATAAAACATTATTGTCATTCTTTATAATAATCTTAAATAGTATTTACTGACAATATGTATTATATAATAAAAGTGTAATTTAATTAATCTGCTTGATTTAATTAATAATTCTTAAAGTCTACCCTTTTCTTGGAATTTGGTCATAAAGGAGTGTGGGTGCCAATCTTAGAACCTTATTATTTTCAGTATTTGTGGGAACATTGCAATTAACTTATTGTTTCAATTAATCGCCTTAAAATAGGCCACTAGGTAATAGGTCGTAAATAATCAATAGTTTGTTCGATTTATCTCCGAAATCCGGTACGATTCAGATGTCGATCAGAGTTGGAACGTTCGACCCGCCATATGCAGCGTGTTTCGCGTTGAACTTTTGGCCCTTTGGAATCGTTAATGCGCATAAATTTGTTAATTCGTAATTGGTGGAAAGGGAAGAAGATTCATTATCGCGTGCATCATTCTCCGTAGTTGAGCACCATTTGTTGTCGCAGTCTCCTTCCGTATAGCTTTTCGTGCGGGGTCAGGAGTGCTTGTTATTTTCCTCTATGGTTATAGATGACAGCAGTAGTATGTAGATCTCGTTGACTACTTTAGTGTGTAGCTTCCTGTTTGCTTCTGACAAAGTTGTATCCATTTATCAGCTAGAAAATAGAAAGACCACTGAACTGACCGATCCTCGAACCACCGATCTTTCGACTGTGATTTTGATTGTCTACCGGCTGATCTACTCTGATTAGATGATTACCTTGCCACGAGTTCACGTTTAGTTTGCAAAACTTAAAATTAAGTCCTTGTTTGCAGCTGCTCAAAATACGTCACGACCGTTAGGCTATGATCAGGTGAATATGATGAGTAATAACCAGTTAAGCTCTAAACTGCACGCACTCTCCAGGACACGTCCGTTTTTCGGGCGACATCGACTATCTGCCAACCGCTACTCAGCGACTGTTTTCTTCTAGGCTTTTTCAGCAACGCCACGAACATATTCTACGTGGCG